AATATAAGAAATCTGCAAGCGAAGAGACCGTGAGAACCGGTACAATCAGTTAGATCCATGCTAGAGAAGTCTTGAGTCTTCCAGACCTAACATGACCACGAAGGAACTGAAAGCCGTGAAATCTTTGAGACTTAACAAGGAAATTATGATTCTTCGAGCAGACAAAAGCAACTGCACAGTGGTTTTGGACGAATCCGAATACAAGGATAAGTTAAACACGTTGCTAGAGTCCGGAGTTTACGAAACCTTGCCCAAAGACCCTACAGCTAAGGTGGAGAGGAAAGTACAGAAACTCCTTTCTAATATATATGGATAAATACCGTCTTAAGTGCAACAAATTTTATTGTAGTTTTTACTTCTTTTCCTCCTCCACACTACATGTTTCGGCCCTAAATGGCCATCATCAGGTGTGTATCACTCACGTAGCTGTTACACTGCTTGTTAAAATTGTTATATTTCTAAATATAAAACCACTCTTCCGACCGATCTTAAACACAGGCTGACTCCATATCACAGCAAACCTCCACATCTGTATGGTCTGCCCAAGATTCACAAAGCGGGTATTCCTCTGAGGCCTATAGTAAGTTCGATTGGTTCTCCTTGCTATGCACTGGCCGGCTTTCTCCATAAGATACTCAGTCCTTTTGCTCGTAAATCCGACTCTTTCCTCAAGAATTCCGCCCACTTCGTTCAGTTATTAAAGACTGTTAGCCTTCATTCTGAAGATACTCTCGTTAGCTTTGACGTTGTCAGTCTTCACTAATGTACCAGTCGACGAGGTCCTACATGTTATTGAAAACAAGCTGCACGACGATGTCACACTGTCGGGACGGTCTGTCTTGCAGGTCGGAGCCATCATGGAGCTGCTGGAAGTCTGTTTGAGAACCACCTATTTTCAGGTTGACGACAAGTTCTTCCAACAGAAAGATGGCATGGCTATGGGAAATTCTCTCTCGCCCATCGTTAGCAACATCTTCATGGAGCATTTTGAAAAACTAGCTCTTGACTCAGCTCCGTACAAACCGTCGGTGTGGCTGCGATACGTGGATGATACTTTTGTAGTCTGGCCTCATGGTTCAGAGAGATTACAGACTTTCTTCGACCACCTCAACAGTTTAAGGCCTTCCATCTGCTTCACCATGGAAACTGAGTCTAACAATGCGATCTCATTTCTGGACGTTCTGGTCATCAGGGAAAAGACGGCACTAGCCACACAGGTCTACAGGAAACCCACCCACACTGGCCAGTACCTCAACTTCAATTCTAACCATCCGCCGCATGTGAAAAGAGGCTTGATAAAAAGTCTCCACGACAGAGCCTCTACCATATGCCAAGATCGACGAGATTTGGCCAGAGAAATTAACAACCTGAGACACGATCTTCAGTTGAACGGTTATTCCAAAGGTTTTATTGACTAGATCATTAATTCCAAGGGCAGTAGTCGTCCGAAGAAAGAGGAAAGCC